GTACACAACATCGATATCTCACTTGTATAGGGTCATTCCCTTTTTGTGTGGATGTAGTTTGTCCGACAGACTTGCGTCCGGCATACTTGCGGCGAATCCCGACATCACGATCAAAGTCCGATCGTACTTCGTACTTGAATAGTTTCTTTTCGGAACGTAAAAACTCATATTTCGTCATATCCCAACAGAAGGGCCTGTCAATTGCAGGTCCAGCCACAAGGAGAAGGCTGCAGTGCGACGGTCCCATTCAGCAGTTGCCAAGGCAGCGCGGCAGCGGGGAACACAAGATGATCCTCGAAGTTGCCGCAGCATGGACAAGCTGTCAATGTCTCCAAACCCCATAGAACTTTAAATTTACCTGTGCCACACACACCCACACATTAGTAGACCACCTTTGTAGTCCTGCAGGAAGAGATTGCATGACGCAACCCAGTGTGTCCTAGGCAATCTCAGACTTGGCTTTGGCGGAGATAGTACCTTTGTCACTCCAGCGCAAGCGTAGGGCCGGAAGGGTCACACACTCTTGGATGAAGTGGGGATCAAGGCATGACTGTTTGGTGTCTGCCGCATACAATGCCATAAGTTCAGCGAAGAAACAAGGATTGGGGGCAATGAGATGATTGGCCATCTTAAGTTCCTTACGGTACTCCACCGCCATTCCGTCCACCTCAAGGTTCCGTTTCTCCCACCGAGACAATTTGTCAAAGAGATTGGACTTGTCGAGATAGCCATACACGTGCTGGGCGACCAATCCACCGAGGACCAAAGGATAGCTTTCCAAATGGATGACACCAAGTCAAACTGGGCATCATTTGGAGACAGTGGGCGATCTTCAAAAGCCATCTCAATAGCAGACAGACCATTGCAAGCGATCCGTACCTTGGGGCAAGTTGAAAGGTTTGGGAACCGTTGCTCGAGAAGCCAATCAACCGCCATTATACCGGCCAACAGACCAATGAGTTTGCTGTGGTATGGGCTCTGATCCTGGGGCAAACCGCGGGTCTGACACCGGATGATGATTTGATGGCATCTTCCATGCTTCACCAGGAGTTGAACCGCCGCAGTTGCCAACTCGTTCTTGAAGGATCCATCGCTGATCACACGCAGGCGGCCTTCCAACAGAGCATCAGCTAAGGTGGCTTCCTCCCCGTGAACCTCGATCTCACCTGTAATAGTCCGTGTAAAGGATGGATGGGCTATTGGATGCGCTACGGTTCGTTCAATCACAGGATCTGACAGGGTTCTTCTCACAGGTACTGGCCGCAGTGCGATCCACCATGGGCAGGAAGGATGTGACGGCGCTGGGGCGTAGCAACATGACGTGGTGGAGGAGCCCTCAGAGGAAAAGTGTTTCCAGGTTGCCCCATGGCGGCGGAAAAGGCCTGTAGTGGGTGACAGCAACCAATTCCAGTCCTCCAGAGGGTCAGTCCAGGGCCCCAATGGCTGTTGTAGTGGGTGACATGGCCCGTTGGAGGCAAGCAGGGCTCGAGACAAGGTGGTCTGCCACAGGTCCCAGTGTTGCCTGGTTGGGCAAACTGTCCTTGGCCATTGGTATGGCAAGCGGAAGCAGCGTTGCTATTGATGGTATCTTTACCACCTCGGGTGTTCCGGTTCTTGCTAGTGGCTACAATGCATTCGGCAAGTTTGTTGAGGCAGATCATTGGGCCCTTTGGATTGATATCAACTTGAACACGGCTTTGGGCAATTTCAAACCTCAGGAGTCTACCTTCAAACCTCTCAAACTAACCCTTTTGGATAGGCAGTCGGTTAGACGCTATCTCCAACTGGTCCACTTGGGTTACAAAGAGTATGACATCCCTTCACATCTTACCAGGCTAAATCAGCGCATTGAAAACAATGAACGGCAGATGTCACCCTTGTTGGCACATAAATATAACTGCCTCCATTGGTACGGCGGCTTGCTGAAGACAATTGTTGCACTACCTCATCCGGCAAGGTTCTGTGGTCTCCAAAGTTGCAAGGATTTTGGGACCAATTGAGTCTTTGGAAGCTCCTCCTCAAAGGCCGTAAACGTTGCCGGGTGAGCTCACGCAAGGTATGGCGCCTGATGAAGAAGACAAGGCTGTGCAACGCATGGAAGAAGACAACTGATGAATTGGAAGTGGCATTGTCAGCTGAATGCAAGGCGTATAAGCAAGCCAAACGCCAGGCAACCCAACTGAGACGTGACTTTCTCACGGCTCAGACAAAGGATGCAAAGAAGAAGAAATGGAAATCTCAGAAGGCTCACAATAGATTCCTTCCGTTACGATGAATGAAGCAACAAGAGGAGGCAAGACGCCGTCATCGCGCCCAATGAAGCAATGAGAGGAGGCAAGACGCCGTCATTGCGCCCATCAAAAGGAATCTACCGGGGATTTGCGGGCTATCCAGATTGAAGAAAAGTTACTAGATGGCTCTACACGGCTGCGTACTATCACTGATTGTGTGCTGGTGGACGAAGGTTGCATCCAAGAAAATGCCGCACGGTACGACCGGACACGAGCCCCACATATGACCCCACCTATGGTGGAACCCTTGTATACAGCATTCACCTGTGCTGACGCCAAATCTAATTCTCTTGCACTTTTGGATGGTCATTACTCCCTGACCAATCTGCTTGACCCTGCTACTACAACCTTTCTCTCCCATTGTCGATTTCACAAGGATCATTCACCCGTACACCTTGAGGTTACAACATCTGATCATGTGTACTTCTGGTCTCGAAACCCAGAGGACAAGGGTTCTGAACCCCATGGGTTGCACAACGGACACTTCAAGGCAGCTGCCCAATCACCAGTGATTGCCTATTGTGACGCCCTTTTTTGTAACATTCCTTTGGCAACGGGATTTTTTCCCTCAAATTGGCAGAACTTGATGAACTTTGCCATTGAGAAAAAGGCAGGTGACTTCCAGCTGTCGAAAATGCGCACTATTCAGTTTTTGAACTCAGAGGCACAGGCGGACAACAAAAAAGCAGGTTGCGTGGCCATGCGGTATGCTGAGGAACACTCCTTGATCCCAGATGGTCAGTTTTGAACTCAGAGGCACAGGCGGACAACAAAAAAGCAGGTTGCGTGGCCATGCGGTATGCTGAGGAACACTCCTTGATCCCAGATGGTCAGTGTGGTTCTCAAAAACGACATCAGGCCATTGACCTGGCTCTGTCTAAACGTCTGGTCTGGGACCTTTTGATTAATCAACAACGAGCGGCTGGATGGATTTCCAATGATGCCAAATCGTGCTTTGACCGTGTTCTTCATTGGGTAGCAATCATTGCAATGCTACGTTTTGGGCTGACATGGAGAGTACTGTTGTCCATGTTCAACATGCTCTCGTCAACAACGCATCGGGTTCAGACAGGTTTTGGCAACCCACCTTCTGTTATCCCATTCCAAGGTTGTGGACAGGGTAGTGGGGCAGGACTGTGAGCTCCGGTCTCATAGCCATGATGGAAGTGATGGGTTATGGCTTTGAGTGAATCTTGGCGCTGGAGAGTTGGATTTCGGTTCTGGCGGACATCAGACAAGCGACAGGCTTGTCGTCGTCCAAACCGATTGACAACTTTTTGGCCCATAAAGCCATCATTGCCAACCAGCCGTGCCAATATGCGACCCATCAAGTCGTCATGCAGAGGCACTGACCATAGCGATCTCCGATCCGTCTAATAGGAAATAATCATCTCTACAGGAAATAACTATTCTAAAAGACTTGTTATCTACATGGAATGGGCAAAGCAAAAGCCTTGCGCGAAAACTCAAATTTCCCAAACCTTTACTGGATGTTTGCAATCCAGAAAGGCCGGTACAAAACCCACGTACAGAACTCCCGCAGGATTCAGTCTGGGATTTTCGTGGCGCTCAGACGTTTGTTAGTCCAAGCCCACAATTCCATGTTTTCAGATTCCCTGCAAAAACCGACTCATAGGAATCCCCCGAATAAAACGGACCAAACGGACATTTGTCCGTGTGTCCGATCGGACGTGTCAAACTGCTTCTATCAAGGAGTTTCCAACTTAGCCACAGCCCAATGCTTCTGCTTTGTGGATGATATCGACGTCATTGAGGCTGGCAATGCAGTCCATCACTCGGGTGAAACCCTGTGGGCTGGGGGAATCCGAGCTACTGGAGGCGCGATTAACCCTGAGAAGTCTTTTTGTGGCTCATTGATTTTGCTTGGGACTCTCGCGCAGGCAAATGGAAATTTTGTGGTAAAAAAGAAGTTGCTCCCAACTTCAAGCTCCAAATTCAAGGTCTATCAGGTGCTCCTGAATCCCTGCGTCGTCTGGAACCAGATGACTCTGAACGCAGTTAGGAGTGATGCTTGCCCCTTTGGAAAACCTTAAGGCTCACAAGGTGCAGATGATTGCTAAAGCCAAGGACTGGGCAGAACAGCTTAGACCCAACCTTCTTCACAAACATGATGTTCTTCCCCTCATTTGGTCGACCATCATGAAGAAATTGGAGTATCCAATGGCGTTAGCAACCCTGGATGCCCAGCAATGGACAGACATTATGTCTCCTGTACTTCAGGTGTGCCTGCCAAAGGCTGGTGTTTGTTGTAATTTCCCTCGGGACGTCGTGTTTGCCCTGCTGTCCTATCAGTGTCTGGGACTCCCACATCCGTTTGGTTGTCAAGTGCTGAAGCATTTCGAGATGTTGCTCCGACATCTGGCCAACAGGACCAAGACTGGTGACTACATGGAGGCCACCTTCCAAGCCCACCAACTTGAAACGGGGACATCCTTTGGAATCTTGCAGCAAGCCTACAACAACACGGCGATCTTAGCTTCCGACACATGGATGAAACGAGTATGGCATAGACTTGAGGGTCTGGACATCTATGTTGCCTGCGACTCCCCAGCTCTATCACATCGCTGCATGGACGACTCCCTCCAGGGGGATCTCTTCATAAACTTGGAGGTCGATCAAGATGAACTCCTGTGGCTCAATTGGTGCCGAATGTTTCTCCAGGTATGCACAGTGTCTGACATTGTCACTGCTGATGGCAGGTTTATTTGTCGTTCTGTGTGAAATGGATTCAGAGATGAGTGCTGCCGCTCGCCATACCAATGGCCAAGGATCAGAGCCCATACCAAAGCAAACTCATTGGTCTGTTGGTCGATATCATGGCGGTTGATTGGCTCCTTCAGCAATGGCCTCCAAACCTTTCGACATGCCCCAAGGTCCGGATTGCTTGTGAAGATCTCTCTTTTGAAAATCATCCACTTTCCCCAATGGACGCCCGGTTTGACTTGGTTTCATCCATTAGGGAAGCTATCCTCTGGTCCTCTGTGGATTGGTCGCCCCAGCACGTGTATTGTTAGAATAAAGCAAAATGTGCTCTATCCTGAGTGCCTTTAGCGCTCAGAACAAACTTTCTGCAATCTAAACTCCTAATCAACTTTACAACACTTTCACAGCAATAGTTCTCCTGTGTTAGGTATACTTTGAATGAAATTGTTCCTATTTGCTTAATGTTTGGCTTGAATTGATGATTCATCACAAAATTTAGTTCAACAATTTTCCCTTGGAAAATCCCTTGTTTACAGAACTCGATTTGACTTCTACTAGGATTCTGTGTTGAATGCAGTACTTTGGGACATCTTGTATTATTCCCTATTGCATTGTACAAGTCAGAAAATATCTGTAGACAGAGCTGTTATGTATTTGGAGCGAAGTAGTTTGATAGAAGTATAAAACTTGAGAGACAATAGTTTGATGTAAAAGTGCAGATTTACTAAAATTGTGACGATATGGC